GTCAGAATGACTGTGTGATGAAGAGTGCTGATTTGGTGTTTGGTTGCCGCTTTAAAGTGTTTGTGTGAAGGTGGTCAAATATGCTTGAGTGTTACTTGACTGAAGATTAAACAACTGAGAGGAGAGCCTCCCTTATATATACAACAGTGAGGGAATTTAGCTCAGGGCAGCCAGTAATGAGTGATTTTTGGCTGGGCTGGGCTATTACATGAGGTATTTTAAGCTACATACAAAATTTGAATGAGTGAATGTGATTGGTCAGACATGTACAAGAGTTGAAGTGGTGATCCAAGCAGCTGAATGAGTGATTCTGATTGGTCAGGTTCTGATGTGTTTACAAGTGAGTGTGGTGGTGTAAGCTGCAGCTGTCATGCAAGGAAAATACACTAATTTAGGCTGCAGGTATGATGTAATATGTAGAAGTGAAATGTAAAGAGTGTAGATGTATGTAAATGAGTGTATATGTAAATGAGTGTGTACTGTACTGAGGGTGTCTGTGTAGCTTGAGGGTTGTAATTGGGTTTGGTGATATGTAATGATGGGTGAAATCCTTGTGATATGTTGTCCAGTGTTGGGTAAGAGTTGATCCAGGTGTGTTCCAGTGACGCCTCCGTGGTGACCAAGGGTGAATTTGTCCATAGAGTCCAGTTCATGAGCCGTATGGTATTAATTCTGAGAGTGATTGGGTGATAATATGAAGAAATATATATATAAGAAAAAGAAAAGGAAAAAACTTTGAATTTTCACATTTTTGACTACCACAGCGGAAGGAATCCCTTCCGGTCATCGGGACCATACAATCTCTATGGCCGGAAGGGATTCCTTCCGGTCATCGAGACTGTACAGTCTTGATGACTGGAGGGAATCCCCCCCGGCCAGTGGGAGGGAAGCGACTGCCAAACCTCCCACTTGCCAAGGAGGTTTTGGGCGCCGACTCCCACCCAAAAAAATAAAAAAAATAATAAAATAATAAAATTGGATTGGGAGGTCGACTCCCAATCCCCCAGGGGGAATTGGAAGGACGACTCCCTTCCAACGACCCCTCGACCAAAATGGGAGTCGTCGTCAAATTTTTGGGAGTCGTTTTTCCAACCCCCTTTATTTATTTATTTTTATTTTTTTATAAGGGGAACGACTCCCAAAACCTTTCAAGGTTTTGGAGGTCCGACTCCCATGGACGTCCGGAGGAGCGTCCGCAGATGGTCCTCTCGACGTCGCAGAAATTTGGGAGTCGGAACTCCAATTCCTGGGAGTCGTTTAACCAAGGCCCTAAAAAAATATAGGAAAATCAAGATTATGTAGATCTTTCATCTACTAGAATTGAGAAAAAAATGGCATTATAATGAATGAGTGGTGGGGCAAGGGAGGTTGCTCCCACCAAAACGGTGCTTCTGGGTCACACCGCAAATGCGTTTTAAGTTTCAAGTCCCTCCCTGCGGGAGGGGGCGCTTCGCGCCCAGCCAGTTACACCAGCAAGCCTCCCACCAGGGGGACTTGTGTTAAGTTTGGTAAGTCCCTCCCTGCGGGAGGGGTGGCTTCGCCACCAGCCAAATTTAAGCTCCACCCAAAACCGACCTCCCGCACAGGGAGGACTTTGTTAAGTTAGTGTATCATCGTCTTTATCTATGTAGATCCATTTGTCCGTCTTGTCAATACTTGGACCAGCCAGCCGACCAGACACTAGAGGAGATTTGTTGAGAGAAGAGTGTGTTGACTCTTGAGAGTGTTGTTGCTGTTCTGAAGAAGAAGAAGAAAGGGAAAAAAATGGGTTGAGTTCTTGTAGGATGTTTGATTGATGAGGACTATAATTCAGAGGAAAAGGAAAGTCAAATTGTGAGAAATTTCGTAGTGGATCAATAGTGGTGCTGATCAGTAGGCCGGGTCATGGTTGAACTGGATTGCCATGTTCAAGGTGTTGATGGATCAGCAACATATCATTTTTTTTTCAGATTTGGTGTGGGGTCTCTGCTTTCACAGTCAATCCCCCCCCCAAAAAAAAAATGATTATGTAGGTTGTGGTCAGAGACAGCTTCAGAATGGCCTTCAAGAGATCATAGGTGAACCCGATGATGGTGTTGGTGGGAATATTGTACTGTACATCCTGGCTGAGGAAGGTCTGGCCTCTATAAATAGGTGAGTCAAGAGTGGATTAATCAGTTATTTTTGGAATTAATATGGTCAATTTGAACATATTGCTTCAAGGGAAAGCAAGCATTAAGTATACCGTTTTTCTTGAACTTCATGCTTGAGATCATGATCAGTCTCTGGAAGTCTTTCTTTAACAGGTCTGCAACACATTCAAAGTCTTTATAGTTTGGTTTTTCAAATCCACCACCACCTCATCATCATCATCATCCCTTATAATAATCATCGGGGCCCCACAAGTTGCACATCATCTGTCTTGGCTTCTCTTCTGGGCTGAGCGCTGCTCCACAATCTCTTCGATGCTTGTTTACATACTTCCCGTGTGTGTGTGTGGTGAAGTGTGTTCCTCAAAATGAGATGCAGGCGCAATTACTTTGATCTAACTTCATCGAAAGTTCTTTGATTTTGGGGTTCCCTCCCAATGGCAAAACTAACCAATTTGGATCATATGGTAGTGGGTACCGGCAGGATTTCCTACAAAAGTAACTCCTTCATGCTCTCATACATTGTTGCACCCATTGATTTCTAACCATATAAGAATGTTCCCCCAGTATGTCCAATTGCCACTGTTGAACATGGGCAAGCTGGTCTTCCCCCCAATACCTTCTATCCGTGGTTACTTGAACTTTAGAGACTCGACATTCAGGATGGCTGAAGAGGCTGATGGAGATTTAATGATTCGTGTTTCACAGAAACGAAAATCATCGTCAAAAGCACTTTTTAGGCGTAAGCATGAAGGTAACAGGAAGGGGTTGTTACATGCTCGTTTTGCCTGACGGCATACATCTTCGAAGGCAAGCGGTCAGTTTGACCGACGGGATTCCGCAACCAACGGGTGAAGTGCGGTTGCATGGGGGATACGTCCGTGTCTGATCTTGAGCCGGTGGCCCGGAGGCCACTGTCAGGTTGCAGTTGCTACACTGTGAAGGTTGCTTTGAAACCTTTTGAAAGCCGCCTGCATCCCCCTATTATAAGGTATTCGCAAGAGCGGCTGACGCCCGGTCTTCTTTCTTCGAAGAGCTTAATTATAGCTGCCATGTTCTGCATACACCGCAACCCTCGATTCGAAAGATGCGAGACGGAAGAGGTGCAGTCTTGACAATGGGTGAAGTTGGTAAGGGTGACCAAGCGAGGCTGAAAGAGGACTTGAGACATCTTCGACTGCCTGGCTGGTGCTCATATGTATGACTCCATAATCTTCACAGTGCGTTGCAGAAGACGAAGGAGAGACCTCGGAATCCGGTTTTCCCTCGAAAAACAGGATTCCGAGGGGCGTGCAAGCAAACCCGCCCTCCCTGAGGGGCGGGTTCGATTGCACGCCCCTTTTGGAGGGGCGTGGGCGTGGGCGTGCGGGGAGGGGGGAGGCGTGCGTTTATCAACGCCCTCAATCGCAACATCGTCTCCTGATCAGACAGAAGAAACTATGGGCGACCATGGCTCTCGCATGTGCAACGTCTTGCAACTGTGGCCTTTTGGGTGTCGGCCTGTCTCCCCGGGCGCACGAAGTGATGCAAGTCTCTGTCAAAGAGCAAGACAGGCCGGATGCTATAAAAGGTGGGCGATCCAGCTGCATTTTGCCAATCATCATTCATCCTGTCCATAGAAGAAGCCTTCTCTCCAATAACCTGTCCATAGAATAAATAACACCGGAGCCTGTTCATAGAAATAACCCTTCCGGTCCTGGTTTCATCATTCCTTTGAAAAACCCGAGATCATCACATATTCCCAATCTTTTCTTCGTGCAAGTTCAACTTGTTTAAAATAAGATATCGTTCCTTTTGCGTCATGTCTGTCTTCAGTTCCTCATTCGCCGCACTTCTGTCACTCTTTGTTGTTGTTCATCTACGGCTCATCTCAAGTCTGCCCAATCCTGGGAACGAGCATGGGTCCCAAACGACCCTTACAAATACCACTATCGAATTCGGTGGGCCTGGAGTCGGAGCAGCGCCGCTGTTTCGAAAGAAACCTTTCGAAAACGGGCCTGGTCCTCAGATATACCCTTCCGGACCGACTCAACCCTCTCCACCGGCTCTGCCGAGGTATTTTGCCTGGGATCGAATGCTCCATATCGATAAGGGCAACGTCGTGGTGGTCAACGTTCAGACAGGAGAACCCGTATACACTATCAGTCAATCTCCCCAAGACCATCGTACCACCATTGTTTCTAACCAACATGGTGATCAACTCCTGAGCGTCAATCTCAAGGTAATTGTCTTTTTCACCTCTACTCTAGGATTCTCACTAGCTCAAGATTGGTGGTGGCTGACGATAACAAACAAATGGGATCAAATTTGCACAATTAAACGAGCAGAAAACAGCGCGCCGCGGCCACAAGTTCCGATACAACACCCCTTCAGGTGTGCACTACATCATCGATCCTAGGGGCGCTCGCACCGATCGTTGGTATATGGTGATGGAGGGAAAGCAAGCCGAAACTTTCACATATTTCCGCGGTCATTCCAAGAACGCGGGGAACGTGTACTTCCAGGGGCAAAATAAAACCAAGATAGCTTCCATCAATTGTCAGTCATTTTCTGTATATTCTTTTCTCCAACGACGAACCAATCCATGTCGAGTCTCATGAATTGCTGAAATCGGGCTTTCGTGACTCTCTTCAAACACTCCACCAGTCGTCAAATCGTTGGACAAAACTCACTGGAAATCGGACACCTTGAGCGGCGTCAAAGACATAGTCACACTCGAAATCACCCAACCAACTGAAATCGGCGATGTAAGTCACTTTTTTTTCAATCCTATGTCAACCATCTAAAACACTGATTTAACTGGCTGCGTGATCTTCAATTGTAGCAATATTTCATTGGGCTATGGGCTCTCGTCAAAAGGAGAATAGACCACTATGGCCTATGAAAAAAAAAAAAAAAACACTTGCAACAATTGAATCAATCTACATTTGTTCTTTTTTGGTCCAGATTTACCAATTTCTTGATCAAATCTACCCTTCTTCTGATGCTTCATTTTGTACTTGAAAATAATTTCCTCCTCATCTGTTTGAATCTAAACCATTGTTACAACTAGTGACCAAGAATCCAATTTAGCCATATGTTGTACATGAAAACAGTTTCATTCTCCCTTTTATTGCAAACAAAGCTGTGGTTTCAAATTGAGCATTTAGCTTTCTTGTTCCATTGCAAGAACACCATTTTGTTTTGCCACATCAAAAATACATTGCTTGAATTTGATTGCCCAAAGAAAATTTTGGAACCAGAATATCTGGAAGAAGGTTGGATTGTACTCACCAGGGTATTATCAGATGTTGTTATCAGGCCTAGGAGAAATGGTGTTCAGTGTTCACTTTGTCTGCCCTGCCAATATAATCTGATGGGGCCAACCTTATCGTCTTTTCTTGACTTGTCTGTTCATGAGTCATATCTGAAGGAGTCAGGATGGTCTTCCATAAAATTAATTGGCCATAAAGCAAACAATGTCTATGATACAACAAATTTGTGATGTAAAGTTTTGTATTGCATTCTACAAGCCCACCCTTGAAAGCAGGGAGTATTCTCAAAAGTAGATATGGATCCTTCATTGCCTTGGATTTGGGGGCTTGTATGTTCAAAACAATTGAAAGGAATGAATGTAATTCAAAGACATGTTCAATGGTGGTATCCAAAGTTGGTCCATAAGCTGTGGTGTTCAAAGTTAAATATGCAGCCATTTATGCATGCATATTTGATCAATTTTTGCAGGGAATCTTGACAGTTGGATCTTATTACATAATCAGATTGTCAAGGTTCCCGCAAACAATTTATGAATTATGCATGCATAATTGTTTACATGTTTAACTTTGAGCACCAATAGTGTATGAACATAAATTCATCAACAATTTCTTTTTTTCACAGAAATGCTTACATAATCCATCCTGGGATTTATTGATGAACACAAAATTATTTATGCATTATGGTTTTTTTGGTTATGCAGTTATGGTCCAACTTTGAACACCATTGGTAGATGAATGAATGGCAAAATAAATACAGAATCGTGGCTGATTTGTGAGGATTGGAAAACCAAACCTTCTTGTTGATCAGGAAATAGTACAAACCTTTTGGAAATCCAAAATTAAAAGCTTGAGCATGTGATTCCATTAAAACTCAACTTTTTTGTCCATAAGAGTTTGTTTAGTAACATCATATATGTTGCATTTTTGGTTGGGAATTTGGAATCCTAGGAAATACTCAAAATAAATCACCCACTTTTGGGGCAGGCCTTCCCAATCACGTCAAAAAACAGCGGAGCAACCCGTTTGTTTTTGAGATGTAATTTAGGAGTACCCTGCATGATTGAGGAGTACACACAATTAAGGAATACATGCTTCGGATTATACCCCGGCCTCCGGTTGTCTTTTTATTCAGCGTTGGCTCAGTGGAAGTGGGATTGTCACCGACATTTCACAAATGAGATTTGTGAAATGTCATGGAAGCTTGATTTTCGTTTGCACATCTCTACACGGCGGGGGGATTTCGAAGGGCCACTGACGACCCCAGAGCGTCACCACTGCAATATCGTCGCGGCGACCCTATATACCGTCAGGGTGACCCGAGAGGTACTACCCTGTCCCTGTGCCGGTTGGAAGGACGGGCACCCGAGGGTCACTGAGGGTCAAGTCATGTGGACGCTCAATATTTTGGGGAAACATGACGCACCAGTCACAACCTGGCACCACCTGCGTCCCGCAAGGGTGCTGGGGACCGTATGACCGCGATGGAGCGAGGGGAATTGGATTGGGCTCTTGAGGGGTGGGGCCGGAGGGACCAGTGGGCCGACAGTCGACAGACGGGCCAAAGCCTGGGCTGTGGCCAGTCGGGCTTTCGACTGATCCCGCCTTCGGTGGGACCCACCGTACCTCAACTTGTCATCGAACTTGACCAAGTCCCTCTACTACTCCGAGGGTCCGACTTTCCGCGCATCATGCCGTTGCTAAAGTGTAAGTGGCGATGATTCTCGTCAAATTAAATATTGGCCCAGCTCACCAAAATGATTCTCTTGCCGTAATAGACTTCAACTGCATCGCGACTGCCGATGGCCCGTCTTACGTCTGCCTGATTTGCAATAACGCTCGTCCCACCAAGGATTACCGGCGGCACAGTCGACGCTACAATCATCAAGTGAACATTGCAAGGCACGAGGAAGCTGAACTAATACGGCGTCACGATGATGTGAACTATGATAATATTGATGTGCAGCCAGATATCCTAGATTCACCCGAAGGACTGCAAGGTCGTGCGCGGACGGCACCTGCATCGGCCGAAGGCGGAGTCGCAACCGTGGGGCCGTCGTTACCGGGCGGGTTCGACCTCTCAAGCGGTCCAAGCGGTGAAAACTCAGGCGGCTTGCGTGACACGGCCGTGCCCGTAGAAGAAGAACCAGCCTTGCCGGAGGACCTACATAATGACGACGATGGCTTATACGATCTACTTAATGCCGAGGGTAGCTTATCCGACAATGGCGATGGGACCCCTGGGAACTCTGGCAACCGAGGCGGGGCTACGGCGGCCGAGCCAATGGCACAGGCCGATTGGTTCCCATTTAGAAATAAGATGGTATGTTTCGTCGGCTTTTGTGCTATCATGCTGGTTCCTGATGATCAAGATTATCCCGTGCCGCATAAGTAGGATCTCATAGGTTCTCTCATGATGGGTCATACCCATTCAATGATGTCTCGGAAAATGTACTCAAAGATAAGAGGAATCCTCAGGTTATGTGACATGCAGATTCCTGATTGGGGGACGGTACGGGACTCCAGGGCTCGGATCCGGGATATCACCCAGTCAACGGTGAATTCTGCTTGCAGTGTTTTTGACACTCCATGTTTCTCTCTGAGTGCTCAGGCTCTCATCTCTCAGGTATTTCGTTGCTCTACGTGTTGATGGTCAGGTGGTCTTGCCTGTTGCAGGTTTATACTGACTGGTTATTTCTGATGGCCATAGGACTTGGGCAATCCTCTGGTTAGCCCTCACTTGGAGTTTTATCCGGACAACACAGAGGGTCAAAATGTATCGCGATTTTCTCAATCCCTCAAGTGGCTTCAGTACATGGCTCCTGAGGACCGTGCCCAGATGTGCGACGTAAATGACAAGCATTTTTACATATTTGAACCGGTTCAGCTTTTGACTAAAGAGGTGGTTGTGCCAATCTTCTTGTACATGTACCATTGGCGATTGCATGCAAAATGCATTGAGATCGGCGCGGATCATGTGACTGAGTTGGGGGAACAAACGAGGATCACCATTCCATCGAGCTTGGCATTTGACGACCACCGGTTGACTGCTTGGGACATACGAGAATTTGATTTGACGTACTCGGAAATCCGCATGGGGGATGGGATATTGCTGACTGAGGCATGTGGAGGCTCCATATATGGTACGTACTATTAACTCGTATGATCAAATTAGGGCATGAGCTTCGACTAACTGTAGCGAACACACTGGTCCACATTTGTAGATTCGGATGGCCTGGTTGACAGAGAGATCCCCTTGCCTAACCATTGGAGAACTGTCGCGGATGGGAAAGTGATCCGGAATGTCCCAGTGACACTATACTGCGATGATACGTCGGGAAATACGTCTAAACAGTTTAACAAACATGTGTCGTTTTACTTCACACTATCGGGTCTTCCACCACATGTGTCAAACCAGGAATTCAACTGCCATTTCCTGTCAACTTCAAACATCGGAAGCGCATTGGAGATTGCAGAGCAGGTTGTTGATGAATTCAAGTGAGTCTTTTGGGCTGCAGAGGATGTATGGTTGGTGTGGTTAGCTGACCAATGGCTGGTATTTGATATCAGTGAGATGGGGACTAAAGGTTATGGAGCGTACGATGCATCTATTGGACAGTCGGTTTGGGTAATGTCTACTGTATTGTGCTTCCTGGCGGACTCGCCAATGCACGCGGAAATAACCAATACTCCAAACCCGGGTCAGTCCCTCAACCCTTGCCGAGTGTGTACACTATCGTGCGAGAAGAAGAGCATGAAGACGTCCAGGGAGTATGTACAGCGGTTTTTGGGATTGGATAATTTGGGGATATTAGTCAGTCTATGCTCATGGCCGGTCATGCGTGGGCTCCTGGGGGGGACTGACGGTTGTACCCTGTTTCTCTGTGTGCCCCTCTGCTGACATCTAGGTCCCTAATGCAATGCGATCGTGGGACGGAACACGGATGGAAACCAAACGGTTGTTCTCAGTGGCCCGGTCGGTCAACATGACTCAGTTCAAAAAACAGTGCCTTGCTTCAGGAATAAAAGATGCAATTAACATCAGGCTCCTGACGGATGCGAAAACGAGCGATAGGGTGAACACCACCATGGAGGAGTTGCAAAATGCTCAATCCAATCGGTTATATAATGCTTTTTTAAAGCTGCACGGTAAGCTTTTGGTGGCCTAGTTGCCTGTCATGACGCTTTGGAGTTTGATGTGCCTGATGCCATTGTTATACGGGAACTTCAGGGTTTGATGGGGTCTTAGATACACCGGTGGAGGTGCTGCATGTGGTCTTACTAGGCATCGTGAAATACCTGGCCCGCGACTTCATCAAATCGCTATCGGAAACAGTCAAGTTAGAATTGATAGCTCGACTCCGATCGTTCAACTGCAACGCCCTGAACATCGACTCACTCAAACCTAACTATTTGATTCGTCACATTCTGAGTATAGTGGGTCGCGACTTCAAGGTTATCTTGCAATGTGCTCCCTTTGTCTTCTTTGATTACATGACCGAGGAGAAACGGAAGATATGGTCTGCATTATGTCGGCTATCCCCCTTCATATTCCAAACGAGTATTGCAGACATGGGCGAGTACCAAATTCAGTTGAAACTTCACATTGACATTTTCCTCTACCACTTAATCAGTTCAACGGCCCAATGGGTCAATAAACCAAAAATTCACATGCTCCGCCACCTGCCTGAGGCTATCCTGCGATTTGGGCCTGCTTCACTCTGTTCGACAGAGAAGTTCGAGTCGTATAACGGTGTCTTGCGAAAGGCCTCGGTCCACTCAAACAAATTGGCCCCTGGCAGGGACATTGCGCTTACCTTTAACAGCTATGCGTGTATAAAGTTCTGGCTCTCGGGTGGTTACCTAATCGACCGATCGACTGGTTTATTGACAAGAGCTTCGAGTCAGGTCCGGCAGGCTTTCGACGAGAATCCGAATTTGCAGGAGTCTTTGGGATACAATGCGTCTGCAACATTCCTTCCTGGCCGAGACGAGTTCCCCGCATGCCATGCAGGCCACTACCGATTGCAATCAACATTCAACCCGCCAGCGAGTCTAGTTGATTTGGCAGCGACTCTCTGTCGACAGCGTGAGAGATTAATCCTGAGAAGAAAACGAGGATCTCCGGCGGTTTTTTGTGGTTGTGAGTCACGTGTATGATGTGCATCTATTTCAGTGGCTGCAGGCACTGACACATCACCCTTGGGTGTCAGGTTCGGGGGCTAAATGGCTCGTGTATGGTCGGCGAGGTCGACTCAATTTGGGAGGTCGATTGGGGTTATGCAATCACTTATCATTTGGATGTGGTAGGTTTCGATGTGGACGGTTATGATGAACATTACGATATGACTCGCATCGCGCGGACGGGTTACATTCACCTGGTCAATGCTACGGTTAGGCTGTTCTTTTTATTGGTTGGGGTTTACCTGAAGTATCCCGCTGATGCAATGGCGTATTATGCTTACAGGATGTCGCGGGGGCCATAAATGTGCAGCACAACTGCCATGGGGGCGGTTGCCAGCTGGATCGAACGGGATCGACATTCCGCGAGCGCATCCTGACCGAGGATAAGTGTGACGAGGTTCAGCACTCGGATATTGACCACTTTCTGATCAATGCGGCCTCATTACACAACCCGGGTTTGCATCAACAGATGAGCCTGCCAGCGGCATTGCCCATATCCCCTTCTGATTGGCGGGACGCTATATCTCTCGGACTTGAGGTGTGGGGCCATCCCAATGAGCCAGGATTAGATTCTGATGATTCCGATGACATGAGCGAGGCAACACAGGAGGAGGAGGAGGATGAAATGTAGTAAAATTGCGGCCGGCAGGCTCCTTTGTTTTTCTCACTCTCTTGAAATCCAATGATTATGAAATATCTGTCAACACTCCCCAGTATGAACCCCCTACTGGGGATTGGCCATCGAGGTTAATGTGTGTGACCAGTTTGATTGGGCTTATACAGTATACAGCCCCAAGGGGCCCAAATGTTCCAGAACTTGTGAACCTGAGGTCCCGACGCCGCTCAACTCGAACCTCAACCCATTTTCAACCAGTCGGGTAAGTCAAGGATGGCTCCGTTGTTCCAAGGTCAAAGAACCCCCACTCTCACTCCTCGGGGTTGTCACTCTCGCCCGGCGCCTTACCGATCCCGTGCATCTATTATCCACCCAGACTTGGGCCTTGCGGCCGACCTGATTACACAAATTGAGACCCAACCTCGTACCAACTCAACCCCCATAACGCAATCCCCAACAGGACGAGCGAACGACCCACCTCCCCTGATGGAATCCGAAGCCGACTCGGATTCAGACGCCGAGGAAGACTTATATCCCAACACGACCACATTTATTGCCGGTTTGGACCTTGGGAGGATAGCCAGGGGAGTGGCCTCAGAGCTATCGTCGGTGAGTCATTGCAACCGCTAACCGGCAGATGTAATCCCTAATACTGACTTGATTGGTCTGTTTGGTCCAGATGCCGTTGGTCCGTCGCAAAGCGACCATATTTTCCACCCTGGCAAGCATCCTCCAGCGCATGGACCACCTAGAGAATTCACCTCGCCTGGTGCAACCTGGCCCGACGCCCCCCCATCTGGACCGGCCCCTCCCATCCGTGCCTGACAACCCCGGGGCTGAGGGCACGTTCACGTTTGGTCGTCGCTTCAAGGCTAGTATCACCATCGACCCCACTTGATAAAGACCAGATATGACCACAGGCTTCTGAGATTATACATGATACCCGCCACTCTCATGCCACAGGATTTCATCCGAGACAGTGCCCGTCGGTTCATGCTTCGCCCCGACCTGGAGGCTTACACACAAGGCACCGGGTCAAATGCCCCCAGCCCAGAACAAGGACTCCTAAGTCTGATCATGGTCCGTGCTTTATTCATCTGGCCCAGGCAGGCACATCTGACTCCGCATTTGCCTCCATTAGGGACACATCAACAACCAGGATGCGGCGTTCCACCGACAGCACCTTCCCCCCGGTTCCATCCGTGACCTGCTCATCGGAGACAATGTTGTTGTACGACTCGTCAAGGGTATCACCAAGCACGTCCGGAATAAAGCCCGCAACATCCTCCTCACGGGGATCTTACAGCCTGCCGGCCTGAGTGACAATAACAAAATACCGAATATCCACGAGCTCTCCAGATTGTTGTGGAAACACCTCACCCGCAATCCGAGAAGATTGACCGAGTTGCAAATTGATGGTGAGATTGATCCGACATTGAAGGTCCGCTTTGCTTACCTCAGGATGGCTACTATCTCCAATTACATGGATCCCAACATGAGGAATGTGTCCCAATGGGATACGATTGATGCGCAATTGGCCATGAACCGTCGAGAGCCTGCCAATTACTCTGCCGCGTGAGTCACACAATCTTTTGAACCCTTTGGAAACATATGATACTAAGCGCCCACCCTCACCCCAACACAGGTGGAGAAATATCATATCTGAACGTGACCATGAACTATTTGCCCATTCACCCCATTTCGAGGACTTGGACCTAGACTGTGCATTGTGCCCTAGTGACGATGAAATTCAAGAAGCCTTGGCGCAGATGGCCTGAGTCGACCCTCCACCAACGCGGAGCAGGAGCTTTGTATCTATCCCAATCAATATCAAGTGCCCATCATATCCCCCTGAAAGTGATTCCCCTTGTAATGAAAGCAGAATCACCAATTACACCATTGCGCTCCCATTCGCCATGTTTAACGCCTTGGTGCCCCCCCCCCCCGGCGGGGCAAGGCACCAACATTACGTATGAGTTTCTGTAAGACGCCTGTATGGCCTGTATGACCCAGTCCCCACCCACAGCTTGGCCAGCCAAGTCAACCAGCAGGCCTTGAATCATCACAAGCACCTGACCCCTCATACCTGCTCATCCGTCTTGTCATCATCCCCAACTGGACTCCAGATGTCTGCCACTCCAACCCACACTCGGTCCGAGGAGACTCCAGAACCCCCATCTTCCGAACCCAATGAACACAATCGGATCATGGGGAACCTCCCCATGACCCGCGTGCAGGTTGCCAATTATGGACCAACCCCGATCTCCCCTCTGCCTACCCCATATGGGATCGTCGAGCACTACCGGCCCTATGACCGAGCTCAACGTCAACAATGGTGTAAGTTCCAGTCTGCCCTGTCCGGATCAACCACACACTGATCTCCATCAGCCAAACATCCCCAGACCCTCGGCGTGCCGCATCCACCAGAGGCCGACGCCGGTGGAGCACCCCACCACCAACCCGACCTCCTAGCCAGATGCTCACCCGACACATCCCTACCCCACACAATGTCTTTGATACTGAAGATGATGACACGGACGGGGTCTCACCCACAAATCCCCCGGGCAATGTCACACCAACAGCCCCACGGCCCGTACGGATTAGCGCTGATGACACCATCGGCCACCTGCCATTCAATTTGGTCCGGCAACTTGGCCTTGACTCTGTTGATGTTGAACTCGCCGACCGCCTGATTGATGTATGTCCCTGGCCCGCCCTCTTATCCCCCACTGACCTGACCACCCTACTTGAGCCCCCAGACCTCCCCAGAATACAGGTGGCCATTAAGCGTCCTTCTCATGGTCTCCGCCCAACAAGGACCTGTGCGTCCAATGGCCCCTCGGCACCGCCCTCGACCTACTGCCGAACCCCGCGCCGATCCCGAAACATTTGCTTTTGAAGACTCCTTCAATGTGAGTAGCCCAATATCTTACTCCCAACCAATAGCCATCACTGCATAGATGGACTGACCCCATCCATGCAGCAATATGTCATGTATAGCATTCGGTCCATCCTCCTGAATGGGACCTTGGACTATTACAGTCACCCAACGCACACCACCCCAACCCGATCGGTCAACCACCCAATGCACTTGATGTTTGTGAGTACTCATATGCCTGCCAACACATCTAACCAGGTAAATGAGCTTTAAACCAACCAAGTCATCCACCTAAGGCGCACCTTAGGGACTCTTTTGACTCCGGCCAAGTAAATCTAGCCATGCTTCCCCCAGGATACACCTCCTCCGATCCCAGCTCGATTGCGCACCTCCAACGATTATTCAAAGAGAATATCACCGAGGAGAAAGCTCGCTTACGTCGTACAGTAAGCACCCGCGAGCTCATCATCAGCCGCAACATTCTTCCTGACTCATGCCCCGATAGATCATGGTGAAGATATCACCTTATTATTCGGCCCACGGACCCATCCCAAACCTTGACGACCTCATGGCATACGTACGCACACATCATGTGACCCTCACCCACCACGCGCACGCCTGACACCCCCTCATTTCTCCAGGTATGGCACAAACAAAGGCCTGACCCAGACCTGCAGCCGGCACCTCTTGAACCCCCACCCCCGGGGCGCCAGGTCGACCGTGTGCGAATTGCACACACTCGACTACACATGCTTAACTACAAGTATGGCTGGCCAGTCCCCTCATCTTCCAACTGGACAACATTCGACCGCGACCTCCAGGCCCTTGCAGGTCGAGATTCCATATATCGGCAGGCGTGAGTCATTCTAGCCTTCAGCGAGCGATATCAACGCGTAACTAACTCATCCAACCCTGGGACAGCCATGCCAATGCAATTCTGCTCAGAGATACCCTGCTATTTAATGGCCTCAACACCCTTGCAAGTATTCCTGAGCCTGACCGGCGTCTCCCCAACGAGCGGGAGATCGACCACCAGATCATGATGATCGAAGTCGGGGCAACCCTCTTGGATATCGGAGAGCCTGAGCTTGGCCGGGAGCACGAAGAATGATGAAGCCCCATTGTCGCATGTGACATAACCATCTAGTTCCTCATAAATTACTCTTGTGTTCTACATTTCTATATGTCCTGTTGTAATGGCCTACGTCATGCTACATCAGAACCAAACAGTAATAATTGCGTTCTCATTGCCCTACCCCAGTCGAGCAATTCCTGTGTGAACCACCTAAAACCACAGGCCCATCCATCCGGATCGGGCCACCCAAGCCATACACCCTCCCAGGGCCCAATTAGGTCACCAATGAGCCCCTCGCCAAAAGACCTCCGCGGGGCCCTGCCCCCGGGTCGCCGGCCCACCCGTACATTTGGCGACCCCAGCCTGACCCTCCTGCTGAACTTCTGAAGGGGCCAAACGTGGGGTGACCAGTGGGACACGGTCATTGGGACCCTTCGAGCGTCATCGTGCCGCTCTTGCATGCGTCTTCGCAACCACCCCCGGGCCGCTCTCCTCGACGCGATGACAACCCGACGTCTTTCGCGACGCACCCATGTTGCTGGGTCACTGAAGCGCTGCAGTGAGCGTTGCATCGGTCACGGCGACGCTCGGATCCCCCCGCCGTGTAGGGTCAGAGCTACAAAATCCTTGCTGGGACACCATTGCAATCAAACAGATTGATTGCCTGAGGGAAACAAGGAATTTAATTTGAAGATGTGCAGAAAAACAGAAATGTCAAGTATGTAACACATCAATTGAGGAAACATACCACTTCAAAACTAAGACAATTTGTAGTTGGCGAAAGAATGTTAATGATGAAGAATCGCTTCGATCCCCACTTGGCACGCTTTGAGATGAAGTGGCAAAGACTTCCACTTTAGTGCCTTCTGTCCTCACACATGACGGCTTGGGTGTACACGGCGGGGGGATTTCGAAGGGCCACTGACGACCCTAGAGCGTCACCACTGCAATATCGTCGCGGCGACCCTATATACCGTCAGGGTGACCCGAGAGGTACTACCCTGTCCCTGTGCCGGTTGGAAGGACGGGCACCCGAGGGTCACTGAGGGTCATGTCACGGGGACGCTCAATCTTTTGGGGAAACATGACGCACCAGTCACATCCTGGCACCACCTGCGTCCCGCAAGGGTGCCGGGGACCGTATGACCGCGATGGAGCGAGGGAAAATGGATTGGGCTCTTGAGAGGAGCGTTGGGCCGGAGGAACCAGTGGGCCGACAGTTGTCAGACGGGCCAAAGCCTTGGCCCTGGCCAGTCGGGCTTTCAACTGATCCCACCTTGGTGGCTTCAGTGGGACCCACCGTATGTCAACTTGTCATCGAACTTGCTACTCCGAGGGTCGGACTTTCCGCGCATCATGCCGTTGCTAAAGTGTAAGTGGCGATGATTCTTGTCAAATTAAATTTCGGCCCAGGTCACTAAAATGATTCTCTTGCTGTAATAGACTTCAACTGCATCGCGACTGCCGATGGCCCGTCTTACGTCTGCCTGATTTGCACTAACGCTCGTCCCACCAAGGATTACCGGCGGCACAGTCGACGCTACAATCATCAAGTGAACATCGCAAGGCACGAGGAAGCTGAACTAATACGGCGTCACGATGATGTGAACTATGATCATATTGATGTGCAGCCAGATATCCCAGATTCACCGGACGGACTGCAAGGTCGTGCGCGGCCAGCGCCTGCATCGGCCGAAGGCGGAGTCGCTACCGAGGGGCCGTCGTTACCGGGCGGGTTCGACCTCCCAAGCGGTCCAAGCGGGGAAAACTCAGGCGGCATGCGTGACACGGCCGTGCCCGTAGGAGGAGAAGAACCAGCCTTGCTGGAGGACCTACACAACGACGACGATGGCTTATACGATCTGCTTGATGCCCAGGGTGGCTTATCCGATCATGGCGATGGGACCCCTGGGAACTCTGGCAACCGAGGCGGGGCTACGGCGGCCGAGACGATGGCTCAGGACGATTGGTTCCCATTCAGAAATAAGATGGTATGTTTCTTCGGCTTTTGTGCTATCATGCTGGTTCCTGATGATCAAGATGATCCGGTGCCGCATAAGTAGGATCTCATAGGTTCTCTCATGATGGGTCATACCCATTCGATGATGTCTCGGAAGATGTACTCAAAGATAAGAGGAATCCTCAGGTTATGTGACGTGCAGATTCCTGAGTGGGGCACGGTACGGGACTCCAGGGCTCGGATCCGGGAGATCACCCGGTCGATGGTGAAGTCTGCTTGCAGTGTTTTTGACACTCCATGTTTCTCTCTGAGTGCTCAGTCGCTCATCTCTCAGGTATGTCGTTACTCTACGTGTGGATGGTCGGGTGGCCTTGCCTGTTGCAGGTTTATACTGACTGGTTATTTCTGATGGCCATAGGACTTGGGCAATCCTCTGGTTAGCCCTCATTTGGAGTTCTATCCGGACAACACAGAGGGTCAAAATGTATCACGATTTTCTCAATCCCTCAAGTGGCTTCAGTACATGGCTCCCGAGGACCGTGCCCAGATGTGTGACGTAAATGACAAGCATTTCTACATATTCGAACCGGTTCAGCTTTTGACCAAAGAGGTGGTTGTGCCAATCTTCTTTTACATGTACCATTGGCGATTGCATGCAAAATGCACCCCGATCTCCCCACTGCCTACCCCATATGGGATCGTGGAGCACTACCGGCCCTATGACAGAGCTCAACGTCAACAATGGTGTCAGTCCCAGTGTGCCCCGTCCGGCCCAATCACACACTGATCTCCATCATACATATATCCCCAGACCCTCGGCGTGCCCCATCTGGCAGAGGCCGACGCCGGTGGAGCACCCCACCACCAACCCGACCTCCTAGCCAGATGCTCACCCGACACATCCCTACCCCACATAATGTCTTTGATACTGAAGATGATGACACGGACGCGGCCTCGCCGACAAGTCCCACCCGCGATGTCACACCACCGGCCCCACGGGCCATACGGATTAGCGCCGAAGACACCATCGGCCACCTGCCATTCAATTTGGTCCAGCAACTCGGCCTTGCCTCTGTGGATGTTGAACTCGCCGACCGGCTGATCGATGTATGTCCCTGGCCCACCCTCTTATCTACCACTGACCTGACCACACCACTCGAGCTGCCAGACCTCCCCAGAATTCCGGTGGCCATTAAGTGTCCTTCTCATGCTCTCCGCCCAACAAGGACCCGTGCGTCCAATGCCCCCTCGGCACCGCCCTCAACTGACCCAGGAACCGCTCACCGAGCCCCAAACCTTTGCTTTTGATGACTCCTTCAACGTGAGTAGCCCAATATCTTACTCCCACCCATTAGCCATCACTGCATTGATGGTCTGACCCCATCCATACAGCAATATGTCATGTATAGCATTAGGTCCATCCTCCTGAATGGCACCTTGGACTATTACAGTCACCCAACGCACACCACCCCAGCCCGATCAGTCAACCACCCAATGCACTTGATGTTTGTGAGTACTCATATTCCTGCCGACACATCTACCCAGGTAAATGAGCCTTAAGCCAACCAAGTGATCCACCATAGGCGCACCTTAGGTCCTCTTTTGAATCCGGCCAAGTAGGTCTACCCATGCTTCCCCCTGGATACACCTCCTCCGATCCCAGCGCGATTGCGCACCTCCAACGATTGTTCAAAGAGAATATCACGGAAGAGAAAGTGCGCTTACGTCGTACAGTAAGCACCCGCGAGCTAATGATCATCCGCCACACTCCTCCTGACTCATTCCCCCATAGATCATGGTGAAGATATCACCTTATTATTCGGCCCACGGACCCATCCCAACCCTTGACGACCTCATGGCATATGTACGCACACCTCATGTGATCCTCACCTACCCCGCGCAAGCCTGACACCCCCTCATTCCTCCAGGTATGGCACAAACAAAGGCCTGACCCAGACCTGCAGCCGGCACCTCTTGAACCCCCTCCCCCGGGGCGCCAGGTCGACCGTGTGCGAATTGCACACACTCGACTACACATGCTTAACTACAAGTATGGCTGGCCAGTCCCCTCATCTTCCAACTGGACCATGTTTGACCGGGACCTCCAGGCCCTTGCGGGTCGAGATTCTATATATCGGCAGGCGTGAGTCATTCTAGCCTTCCGCGAGCGATATCCTCGTGTAACTAACTCATCACGCTGGGACAGTCATGCCAATGCAATTCTGCTCAGAGATACTCTGCTATTCAATGGCCTCAACACCCTTGCAAGTATTCCTGAACCCGACCGGCGTCTCCCCAATGAACAGGAGATTGATCACCAGATCATGATGATCGAAGTCGGGGCAACCCTCTTGGATACTGGAGAGCCTGAGCTTGCCCCGGAGCACGAAGAATGATGAAGCCCCATTGTCGAATGTGACATAACTATCTAGTTCATCATAAATTACTTTTGTGTTCTACATTTCTATATGTCCAGTTGTAAAGGCCTACGTCATGCTACATCAGAACCAAACAGTAATAATTGCGTTCTCATTGCCCTAAATACACAATCAAGGAGTACATGCTTAGGATTAATCCCCGGCCTCCGGTTGTCCTTTTATTCAACGTTGGCTCAGTGGAAGTGGGATTGTCACCGACATTTCACAAATGAGATTTGTGAAATGTCATGGAAGCTTCATTTTCGTTTGCACATCTCCAGGGTCAGAGCTACAAAATCCTTGCTGGGACACCATTGCAATCAAGCAGATTGATTGCCTGAGGGAAATAAGGAATTTAATTTGAAAATGTGCAGACCAACAGAAATTTAAAGTAACACATCAAGTGAGGAAACATAAATACCACTTCAAAACTAAGACAATTTGGAGTTGGCGAAAGAATGTTAATGATGAATAATCGCTTCGATCCCCACGTAGCACGCTTTGAGATGAAGTGTCAAAGACTTCCACTTTAGTGCCTTCTGTCCTTACACATGACGGCTTGGGTGTAGTAAATACCAAGCTACAAAAACTTGCTAGTAATACGCTTGGTTTATGTGGAAATAGAAACTAGAGGGGCATCATGAGCTCATGCGTCAAGACAGCTAGATGCTCAGCTGAACGTCTGTCATTCATCGAGGCAAATCAAGCCTGTAAGGACACATTTGCACGAAGAACTAGGTGAAACTCACATCCAGAAAATATGGATTGCGATTTTGTGATACTTTTATTCCGTTCAGAACTGACCATCCGATGTTTCTTTTCCAGTTGATCAGCTTGGCTTGAACAAGATCAGCCCCAACGGCCTCCGGGAGGACACCTTCCGATGCGTTCGCTTTTTGGTTCAAGTTGGAGAGAGGAATGGCAGGTCACAGCTGATTTCGTTATCCCGATGTTAGTCTCGTACACTACCAGGTCGTACCCGTCTAGTGGATTTCTGTGTCTACTTGGAAATTCTGGGATTCCTTTCCGGCTCGGAACGAGTATCGCACATTCAATAGTTCACAAATTTCCGAAATGTTTTAAGAAGTACAGATTCATACCCTGGAAATATCCTTCGGACTTGGTGTGCACATACTGAAATCCGGCCCCAAGGTGCATCTCGTCTTAAAACGTGGACTGGCTAAAGACCAAGGAAATGTAAGCTCAAAGCAATCGTTTGCGATTCTTCTACTTACCAATTGGATGACCCTCACTCAATGCGACCTCGAAATTGGAAAGCATTCAGAAAGGATGTTTCTACGAGCCTATGACGTTCCCAAGGTCCGCGAATGAGTCCACCAGGTTTTTGATTCGTAAAGATGCGGTTTGTGACGTTTGTGGCACCGCTGTGCCAAATGTTAATCCACCTGAAACTAAAAAAAAGTGAGCACAATACCGGCCAATCTAATTTCACTATACCGCCCTATATTCATGCAAGAAATTCTCATGAATGCTGATATGAATGCGTTCTGTTTTTTTCCTTCTGGGTTATCCATTGGCCTTGGGTCAGATGCGCCATGGGGATCCTTTTACACGCCTGGGCCAATGGCTAATTTGGAAACATAAAAAAACATTTCATTGGACCTCCCATCATTTGATCTCAGGAAAAACGCAGGTCACTCGGGAAGGAATGTTGGCACGTACCTAAGCCTGAGGGCGTTTCTGATTGCTCCGCTGGACATACAACATTCCAGACAGTTTTGAAATCTTGTCACTAAACGTGGATATTTTTCTGTTTTGTAGGTAACGCTTTCCACATGCGATGCGAGAGAGAGGATTCGACCGCGTGCCAAAAATTCCAAAGAGCATTTTCCTAACCCGGAAGATGGGAAACAGCGACCCGTTGGAGGAAACCGTCGCGATTCGCTGTGAGCTATGTAGAAGCGGCAGGGACGGATAAATTGAATCGGCAAGTTGAATTTGAGTAATCACAACGATGTCATCGGCTGGTGGATTCACATATCATTGAACGAAGAATTTGATGGATTGAGATGATTGAAATGAAAACCTTTTTTGAAGTTGGGACCTGACTCCAGAATTTGCCACACCGTAAGAGCCCATTCAATGCTTTGCGCTTAAGACGCTATCGAGAGCTGATTGAATTTCGCCCTAGCATAACTGTCCTTGGAGATCAGTATGCTTCACTTTTGTAGTTCGTGTCAAAAGAATTAACTTTACCTATGTTCTCTGAAGCAAGGTTTCCCGAGTTTGGAGACCTGGGATGTAAGCCCTTGTCTCGTTTTGGTACATAAGACGCTCAAAGCTTGACCGGATTCTGAATTATCGAAAAGCATGTCGTCCTTACTGCGGACGTGATTCAACTTTTACATAGAGAAATGGGGAAGGGTAGCTTGTTGGTTACGGGAGCGCATGGATGTCAGAACCGGGCGAATGAAAACATAAATGGTTGTGCTCCAGTCACCCGGCTGTTTTTTGGTGCAAAACCGGCGGGCGCATACTTGCCATTGTCAGTATTTCTTTGGCGCGTCGCGACGTGGGTGTTTGGCTGACTCCTGAATTTCTAAACCTTATTGGATAGAACTCTGATCCCGATACCTCAAATCTAGGAAGATGAGATGGTGCCACTGTGTTGGTCCAGCTTTTCATTGTCATTTTGATCGGACTGACTACAAAAGATTATTGCTGCGACGCCCCTGCGAGGAAATGATTTTGTTACAATCATGAATGATCCCATCACATTTGTATGTACTGTTGTATGGACTCGACATGATTTCACACCCTTTGTACCGTTGATGGCCTTTTTTTATGACTGAAATTTTGCATTACACCATGTAAAAAGCTGCTCAACATCGCAAATGCTATGCTCAAGAAGGATTCATCTATGCTGCTGGCCGGCACTTGTAGGCGGTAACAAACAAATTTCGTTTCTCTGGAACATAAAAAACGTGCATGGTTACAAGATTGGAATGTCCTGCCTCTATAAAGAGAAGTAAAGAACAAAACTTGGTGGCAATTGTTCCGAGCTTGAGGGCGCACTGTAGTGGTAGGTAATGTTGCTCGTAGAAAACATATTGGCTCAAAATCATTCGACAAACATAGAGCAGGCGGAAGCTGGGAACACTTTTCGCCAAAGAAAGCACTTCGGAAGGCCCTTCCAGCTAAGGCCCTACCGCAACGCCGATTCAATAACGCTTCGATACCTTTTCCAGCTGAACACTGCGCAAGCTCGGTAGAGCCAAGTGCAGAATTCATTCGTTGTAAGCCATGCTTTTGAACTAGCTCTTCCAAGCACGACTTGATCTAAGCACCTAAATCAAAAGGCGCAAAGCAAACACTAGGGAAATTTTGCACACCTTTCGTGTTTGATTAATATCCATGAGATTTTCAAGTTCAGCCCTAGTGAAACGAAATTCCTCAGCTTCCAAATAAAATAGACGGTCGTTAAACCAGAAAACCCTGGCTCCGGATCCTTCCAAACTAGCGAAACTTGGATGTGTACGGGCAGGTAAGTAACTCAGTATGTGTTTTGCGTTATGGAAAAGAATTCCCTTTGACTGTCATTGATTGAATGGCTATGTAACCTTTGTAGCCGGCCACGTTATGGCCCCTGAAAGACTGTCTACTGCCATCGGCTTGGACGGAGACAGTCTCCGCCTGAGTGAACACTACATTATGGCTTTACTCTGTCAAAGACCTCAGGCTTGCGCAAGCTAGGCAGATTCTAGCGTAAAATCCTCTTGATGGATGCCGTAATTTGGAATTCACCATAGATTTTACCGCCGGATATTCATTAACTAGTGGTACTTGTACAACCCGGTGGCCATAACGGTATGTCTTTTCGCCACAAGGAAACATGTTTTTTGGTTGGGATTAATCGAAAGGATAGACGACCAAGGGAGCCGGTGACTTTTCTTGCCCTAAAAAAACTGCTAATGGCCATTGGCCCCAAGCGCGACTACCTCTGTCTGTAGTATCACCACATCATTGCCTGGAGCCTCTCTCAACAGCATCAGAATCTCGTAAACTAGGGAGAGGAAAGCGGAAAATTCTTTTCGTGGATCCCCTGATGTTATACTTTGCATAGAATTTGGCCGCAACGGAGAAAGGGAACCCGTGAGGCAATTTGTGCATTCCTTACTAGCGTAATTTGGCCGGAGATGGTCCGCCTGAAGGATACACAACTCGCCGGGACCAAAAAAACTTGGGCGGCAGGGTCAAAGAAGGAAAGGAGTCCTCAGGCCAGCGGGAAGAGTATTCTTGCCTTTAAAAAAGGCACAGATCCACTGGCAATCTCATTCCCCCATCCCACCTCATCCACACACACTCGAAAACAAGTTTTTCTTACGCTTTAAAAACAGTAGCTTAGCCTAACCCCCATCCTCATAATATTACCATAGAACAAATCACACTATGTCTGGTTCTCGTTTTCCTCCATACTCTTCTTCAACCCCTCCCTCAACCAACGGTGCTTCTACCGTAGAAGAGGAAGAACTTGCATTTGATTTTACTATGCCAGAATCGCTTCAAGTTACATCTTTTTCCGACCCGTTCGCTGACCCGTTTGGCCTCAACGACAACAGCTTTGGGCAGATCATGAGGGCGATGGAACCACCTGCTGTTGAAATGCCTCCTTATTCCGCTTTTGAGAGGGTTTTCACTTCGGCCTCGTCGGCTCAAGACGCCCAATACTCCCAATCGACGTCACGGGCCACCATCCCCATTCCTGAAGGATTTGTGGCACCGACCATCTTGCCATTGGGCTTTCAAGCCTCTAATGGTGAGTCCGCAATCATCACATTACCTTCGTATCCTTTTTGATCAAATCCTGCCATTCAAACCTTCACCACAGTCGATCCATTCAGACCCAGTTTGGGCATTGACTCGGAAAGCTCCAGTCAACCACTGGCCTCATACTGTATGTCTGAACTTTTGTCTTTATCTGTGACATATGACTGATCCAATCCTGTTGGGAAAAAAATATAGCTTGTCCACTGCCAACCCATCAAAATGGCAACTCTGGCAGTGTCTTCACTTCAGCCTCGTCGGCCCAAGACGCCACAAACTTCCAATCAACCTCACGGGTCACCATCCCCATTCCTGAAGGATTTGTGGCACCGAACCTCCTGCCATTGGGCTTCCAAGCCTCTAATCGTGAGTCCGCAATCATCACATTACCTTCGTATCCTTTTTGATTAAATCCTGCCATTCAAACCTTCACCACAGTCGATCCATTCAGACCCAGTTTGGGTATTGACTCGGAAAGCTCCAGTCAACCACTGGCCTCATACTGTAAGTCTGAACTTTTGTCTTTATCTGTGACATATGACTGATCCAATCCTGTTGGGAAAAAAATATAGCTTGTCCACTGCCAACCCATCAAAATGGCAACTCTGGCAGTGTCTTCACTTCAGCCTCGTCGGCCCAAGACGCCACAAACTTCCAATCAACCTCACGGGTCACCATCCCCATTCCTGAAGGATTTGTGGCACCGAACCTCCTGCCATTGGGCTTCCAAGCCTCTAATCGTGAGTCCGCAATCATCACATTACCTTCGTATCCTTTTTGATTAAATCCTGCCATTCAAACCTTCACCACAGTCGATCCATTCAGACCCAGTTTGGGTATCGACTCGGAAAGCTCCAGTCAACCACTGGCCTCATACTGTATGTCTGAACTTTTGTCTTTATCTGTGACATATGACTGATCCAATCCTGTGGAACAATATCATAGCCTATCCATTGCCAACCCATCAAAATGGCAACTCTGGCAGTGTCCCACTGCCAACCCATCAAAACGGCAACTCTGGCAGTTCCCCACTGCCGGTTCATTCTCACACAGACCCACGTCTCTCCCTCAACTATCAGTCTGGTAGGGATCTCTCCACATTTTCACCACACACATTTCCGGAGATTAATCAAACTAAACCTTTGCGTTGGACCTTCGACCAATTTGAATTGCCAGTGGTTCCTGTTGCCGGCCCCAGAAGCCTGCAACCTTACTCTGAACCGCCCCAAGGATCAAATGCGAATTTCAATTTTTCGGTACCGTCGGTGATTCCCAATGGATGGTATCCCGATCAAGCAAACACCCAAAACTTCTTAGGATCTGGTTGGTTATACCTTTTAATTTAGTTTATGGAAGATGAGGATGGATGCCTCTCCCCTCATCTTCACCTCCCAGCTTTCCGGAGATTACTCGAACTAAACCTTCCCGGTGGGCTCTCTTCCAATCAGATTTTCCAGCGGTTCCCGTTGCCGGCCCAAGTAGCCAGCCTTACTCTGCTCCGCCCCCAAGAGCAAACTCCAATGCGAACTTTTCGTTCCCAACGGCGATTCCCGATGGCAGGCAGTCAGATCAATCCATCTCCCATCGCTCGTCACCATCAGGTTAGTTACCCCTTTTACTTGAATTTATGAAAGATGAGGATGGTTTATCAGATCATATTAGGGTAGAAGAAGGAGTACAGCTGACTATAATTTTCTATACAGTCAAAAACAAAAGAAAAAAAGGTTCCAAAAAGGTAGCTGCGAAGGTATATAGATCTGAGAAGCGCAACTACCTGTCGAATCGGAGGGGAAACGTGACCCGTCTCGATGAAGTTGGCAAAAAACCTTGTAGGTTTACTGTTCAATCCAGTTTTTTTCCAACAAGAGAATTAATCTGTATTCCTCATGATTAATAATCTTTTTCAAATTTCCAGGTGTGTGTGATGTGTGTGGTAAAATCTACAAGCGCAGTGGTGACCTGCAAAAGCACCAGAGGGAAAAGCACGATGCCCCTGCAGCAAAGCCACGGGCCAAGAAGCCAAAGGTTTCTGAAGAAAAATGTATGTAACTCCATCCTCAACTCGTTCCCATGTTTGTGTTGCCTTTTTTAAACATTTTTTTTTTTGCTAATGATCATTTCGATGTTCAAACTATCCGAATTGAAGATCCCTGCAAGTATGCACATGAAGGGTGCAAGAAATCTTACAAGAGCTTAGAATATTGGCACTACTACAATCACCTGGAAAAAGTCCATGGCGAGGTGGTAATTGTGTCGGAACCAGTAAGACGGGAAATGGTGTCCACCTTTCCCGAAAGCGAAGATGAAGATGATTGTGAAGAGCACAATCCGGTTCCCGGCCCCTCACGGGAACCAAGCTCATAATTTCTTCATACTTGCTCGGTTCAATTCAAGATGTCACTTTCTTCAGTTTCTTTTTTGCTGTAGGCTGTAGCTTTAACCGGAAACCTTTCTCTAGTTCAGAACATAGGGACTCAATCTCTGTTCCATGCATGCTCTTGTCGTCTTTCATTAATTTATTGTTGTGTCAGTTGGAAATTTGGATTGCATTTGCTTTTCAGGCATCTAGATTTACTATGCAGATTGATTTAGATTAAAAAAAGTCAAACTATCAGCTTCTCTAGCCACTAGCATCACCTGAGTAACTTCCAATCAGACTATGCCTCATCATGGACATCAAGGATCGGTTGTGATCCGTTGAAGGCGAAGTAAAATATGTACTCTCTTGTTGGGAACCATGGAACAAGAACCCCGGATTCCTACTGCTATTATTATTAGAACCAGAATGTTGGTTGTCTGAATCTGTCGAGTGTGACGCGCTTCATGAGCCCCCCGGGGGTTTCACGTGTGGTTGGCTCTGGCTTACATAATCATCCATCAGTCGATTATGTAATCCGCGGTGGTATACATAAGCCTGGTTCATTGACCATGCACAGCACCCCTGGATTCCTTCGACAACGACCTCCGACGACCGAACAGCTTAAGCAAGCAAGCAACAGGAACGCATCCACAGTATAATGTCGAGGACGAATCCAGTCATCCGGTTCTTACAAGCATTAGCTCTCCTGCTGTGTCTCGTCTATGTGCTCAGGAGGTCGGCTAGCGACAGCAAGTCTCCATCAGAGTTGAGTTGTCCTCATTTCCTCCATTTTGGTTGCTAGAATTGAATAGGATGGTACCACTGAGCTCACTTCTCTCTACAGTTGGCACGTCTCGAGCTGGTTGGCACAGAATCCTACCAATCGATTCAAACTTCCTCCGGATTGCGACCCGTACGCTGAACTTGGACATCTTTACACGGCAGATGAGCTGCACGATTCGAGATATATCATCTACAACGACCACAAGCAACCCGCGCTGGATGCACCAGATCAGGACTGGGTGGTCCCCTCCTTGACGGCGACGATCCACGAGCACAAGTTCCTCGAATTAGACTTCCTGAGGAACCGATCGGTGATCATGATTGGCGACTCGATCGACCGAAACCTAGTCACCCACTTTGGCAGGAGGGGCTTGGCCGGCACGAAAGGACACCACAAGTTCTTCGAAATCCCCGACCAAGCTCACATCGCTACCTCCAAATTCGAGTCCCATAAGATCGGAATGGCCTATCTACCCGAACTCAACTTCACAGTCTACAACTGGTTCCTCATGGGTCTCGGCGTCAAGAAGGAGGTCCCATTCTTCCACGCCCGCGAAGACTTACCTCAAGACTTCGAGAGCAAGATGGAGACGTTCTACTTACCACTCCTACGCGCCAATCTCATCGCCAAGCCTGATCTCATCGTATTTAACACCGGGTTTTGGGATCTAGAATATCTAGCCAGAAGTCGAACGGCTCGATACAACCTACCGGATGTCCAACCCAGAGCCAACGAAGGGCCGACCGGACTGAAGATCATCAACCTAGGCGATGGAAATCCGTTGTCATTAACCGAGTTGGCATATCATAGAGTCAGACTTCGAAGCTTCTTGAAGACCTTAATCGACTCCTTGAAATCAATCTATGGTCCATCTCAAAACTCAAATTACCTCGATCGGCCAATCGAACTCATGTATCGATCGATGCAATTGGGCAATGCTAGTATCACTAACGCCTTTGCTGCTGAACGGATCCATCAACTCGAAGAATCTAATCGACTGGTCCTCAAAGAATTCAACATCAAAATCATCGAATGGGGTAAAATGACTATCGGTTTAGATAGCCAATTGGATGACCCTTCCATCGTCCGTTCTTTCACTTACTCAATTTTTGTGTCAATCAAATCCATTTGACTCTAACTTGATTTTTCTATTTTTACTTTTTTGGGAAACAAACAACTATCCAGCATTATGGTATTGGCTCAGCTCAGTACAGTTGAGTGTTTTGTTTTGTTGTTTTATGAGCTTCAAGCGGCCAAGTAGTGCTAACTTGACAATCATTTTGCCTCGATTAAATTTGACTCCGCGTGTAGTTTTTGGAGACATGTTGTTATTTTATCTGTATGTTTTTTCAAAACAGACCAAGAACCAACCACGCGTGAAGCTGACTTATTTCTTATTCATGTTCAGTAAACGACTTATTTCTGGATCAAAAGATGAATGGGTGGGCTGCGATTGGATCCGAAATCGTCACTTGCACTACCAAACCTGAGAAGCTCCTCAACTCCCGTACATTCTCAAAAGAATTGTGCACACAACCGCATCCCTCCAGGATTTTTGTCAGGGGACTTGAATCATCAATCTCGCATTTTTTTTATGAATAAAACAATCATAATAATCGGGTAAATTATCATTTATTACTTCCCCCATCGATTTCTTCCTTATTTCCTGCCATCATCATTCTTTTTTTTCTGCTTCTTTGGATTTGCCTGACCTTCAAGCATATTTCTCTCTTGCTTTGAAGATTGTATTATTCAAGGCTGTGTATATACATATAGAAATAAAATACACTTTCTAATAGACATATCAATAGATGGATGTGTTGTTGTATATACATTCATAGATTTCTTTTCTCTTTGATACTTACTTCTGCATCACAATGGTTGTACACTATGTACTCTTTTTTGTTTGGTCATTCTTCCTGTCATTTTTTTGTAATCTTTGTGCATGTGTGTTGGAAGAGCAGAAAGAAGAGAGTTAATAATATATGTCTGGTTCCTTTAATTAACTTCTCGGTCTTCAACTTAACATATATCCGACTTCAAAGTTTGAGGCCCATTAATCTATGTATCCAAACTCCAGTGAGTGAGGCAATAACACTGTCCTTTTCAAACTTCTTGGGTGAAGGTGTATGAAGCTTGGCGCCCATTTTTCATTATCGTCTGAGTACCGCATCTGAAACATTTTGGGCCAGACAGTGGAGCATAAACTCAAAATTAGCGCTGCAATGTCGGCGAGGTTCATGTATGGATAACACCTGCATCAGAAATGGTTGCTTGCCTGTGGGAAAAGCCAAGAGCCACGATGAAGCAGCACACATTCAACCTCATTCGCCCAGTCGGTCTTGCTGGAGTGACATCAGCGTACAGATGCTTGCACAGAAGCAACCATCAAGGCTGATTGGAATGGGAGAGACTTTCTGTGGGCACTAGGGATCGTGATAAGATTACGTCCCGTACATCCTTTGTGGAATGTCTCGAGATTAGATACTCGGAAAGCCTCATCGGGTAGGACGACTGGGCACAAAACAGGCACATTCAATCAGACCACTGTGTGAATGCCTCATTATCAAACAGATGCACTCGGTTTACTAAATTTGAGGTATATGAAGAATTAGACAAAGTACTCTGAATCTCTACGGCTGTGTTGTTGATGGGTCTGCTACAGTCACTTTGGAATTCTCGGCATGGCTGCGACGACGAAAAGACCGAACTCATTGGCAACTGCTCACTTGCTGGCCTTAGCACAATCCCCTGTCCCAGAAGGCCGGGACCTCGCGCTTCGCGAGGGGCACTTCGACGCGCCAGCCAAAATTTACCAGGCCCCGATGGAGCCGCTACCGTTAAGTTAAACCCTAACCTAACCCAAGCCCCTCGATCAGGGGGCCTGGCATAGCCAGGCTGACGCGGTGGAAGCTCCTGAGATTTGCCTCCCGAATCGCGAGGTGCCCCGAGAGCATCGGTCCCCCGTACCCAGAAACGAAGGGAACCTCACCAAGAAACATCCGTTTATCGGCTGTGATGAGGGCTGCGGCTCAGATTCCAAGACTGTCACTAAGGGACCTCCCTGCTAGGCCAGAGCGGACAAAGATGATCGGAATGATTGCTCCGGGGAGCGCTCTCGGCTGTGCCGTCTACTCCAACCGGGATTGAGCCTCGAGTGCTAATCGGCATGCCCACATAGGACAGTCTCGAGTTCACTTTTTGAGACTCTCTCCCCCACCCAGACACGAGAGTCCTGGAATCCGCTTTCTAGACTTCGTCACCCACAGGCGCAAGCTTCCACTTGAAAGTACAGGGGATTACAAATCCAATCTGGGGAGAAGGCCTGGTGCAGCTTTCACGATCTCTTCTTAAATGACGTGATGTGCTAGAACCATGTTACCCTGTGTTGAGGATACTTGACGCAATAAGAATGTTAGCAGTGAGATAAGGATTTGGAAACAACTTCTCCTTTCAGGTGAGATGAAGCGCTCCTACGTTTAGCAACGATGGAAATGGGACAAAGCGTTAGAGTAGGTTTACAGTTATTTAAGAGGTGGAGGAATGTTCCTACCGAAAAACCTCAGGTCGGCCGTTTTTAAAGATTCAGGCTCATTTGAAGTTCCTGAGGTTGACGTATTTACTGCCGTTGGATTTGGTGCGTAAATGCCGAACTGGTGATACTCCGAGGTACAGAGACGTCTGAATGCGATAAGGAACCGATGAGATGTAAAACCACCATACGCCATTGAAAACCAAACGCTATTCGATACTTTTGACTTCGGACCTCCCCGGCGTCCACAACTTCGTCGGAAAACGGTGGATCTCGCCCGATTTCAAGCTCTGTTTAACGAGAACAGCATCGCCCCTGATCGTATTTATTTGAAACTGTCAGGTTCCTACGCGAATAAGAAGATGTATTGAAAATTTCGTGCAGAAGATTTCTGGTGGAGCTTACATTGTACATGCCAGCGCCACTGACCTCCTGAGTTTGTCCAGGAAAAGCTCAATGTGTCTATCCTGATGAGCGTGTATTTTACTGTTTGCCGTCAGAATCAAGCACCAGCCTCTTCAGATCTTCGCTTGTCCTGATTTCTCTTTCAAATTGAATCCGGGTGATGTTCTTGCGGAGCGGTCGATAGATAAGTAATCGAGAAACGATTCAAAGTCTGTCTGGACGCCCATTGGGTCGATGATGTGCACGGGTGATTCGGCCGAGATCACAAAGAAGTACGAATCAGTAAGTGATCTCGCTCTGTTCCAGTATGACGCCAAAAATCATATGTTAAACACCACTGCAAAAGTGGGACACACCATTCTGCTGAGAAAAGAAATCCGTTAGGGAAATTGGGGTGCGATCCTTGGGGGTGAGTGAAATTCTTGATCAAGAAAAGCGATTTTTATGAGCATCAACACGTTTTTGTACCGGAGTCGACAATAAGAAAAAATATCGTACTTCTGGCTTGAAGAACGTGTGTACCGATCATTAGAAAATAAGCCTGTGGAGTCGTGCCACTTGCATCTATTGTGCACCGATTAATTCGATGAAGATTGGCACAAATCAAGTGGTCACCAGCGTCCACCCACCTGGCGAAATAAAGAAAAGAATTGGTCAGCAGGGGTCCTTGGTGGGAGTTAATAATTAAAAGCACACAATCAGATCAGTGAAGTCGTGCTGCAGTTATAAGTATGATACATATGGTGGAGCAAACCAAGATGACAAAACCCTCGATTACTTTCACTGGAGAATATGTGCCGACTGCGTTGTATTTCGCGTTTCAAATAACTTGAGTCTTGAATTGGAGCTTGGTATTTTTCTTTAGATTTGCAGGCTCTAGGACAAACTAGAAGAATTGGCCTGGCAGTTTGTAGCCTTCTTGCCAAATTGTAACTATAATTGTCGGGCCCTTCTTTCCGTCGTGAGAGGCTTAGACAAGTAAGACGAGGGTGTTTTCCCCCTTGTTTATAAAGCGATAAGAAAGTCCTCATACCTGGATTTTTGAAAAACAGCAGCTCATCGGTGGGTCGAAAGCTTCTGCACTACGTAGAATAGTGTTGAGCATCGCCTTTCAGTAATAAAGAGTTCAGAGTGTGAAAGGCGAGACACAAAAGTTAGCTGCAATGGTGGAAAACGAGATGGGAACCGATGGACCTGGCTTTCAATCTGAAAATTACGACTCTTGTCGATGGCTTTCCATCCTTTTTGCGTTGTCCGCCATGACGCTATCGGGAGTGACCGTTTGAAACCATTATGCCGATCAGTCCTCTGGCCATTGTCTACACCAATGCTGCATCTCGCATGGATCTGAAGGCAGAGGCGGACGGATGGCTCCACCGGGCCGGGGCACTCCTCGGACTTGAACGTTTGTTGATGCTGGCAGGGCCAGCAATCATACAACCTCAAAATTCAGAATCATCTCTGTTGGGCGCTTTCCTTCTTCTTGCTCAGAGGCTAGCCGTTGGAGTCCGTGCCCTCCAAATAAAAAATGCATTTAAAGAAGGATAAGTGGCCCTTAACCATGATTATCCTGCAACCTCCTGTATTGTTTTTCTTTAGATTCGGCCCGGTAGGATGGAAGAATGATTCTATCTGTCTCGACACATGAGTGCTTTTGCGATTGCATCCCAGCCCCAGCTAGATAGAGCACCATGGCATTTCAACAGTCGTGCAGTCGGCACAATTCTTTGCAATCTTAGAACCTGCTACGTTGTGTTCCATCACCGACACCGGCATAGTGCAACTTGGAGGCCTTGTCGACACTAATCTCGAACTGACAATTGCACAAGCCGCGGCCAGTCCAGCGAGGATTTATTTCTGCATAGGTCTGGAATCGGAACCAAAAGAAACCTGTAGCATAGGGCAAGTCTCTCTAGCCTCATGTGTATGAGTAGGATCCATGAGATGGTCCGGCTCAATCACCGGAACTGCATACAGTAGCTGAGTATGATCAAAGGAAACTTGACAGGCTTCATGAGAAGTTATTCCTCATTAGAATCCATCACGCCAGTAGAAAGTAACTACGTAGGACTGTAGCTCAACAAAATTACCCAACTCAGGAACCTTGAGTAGTCTCCTTGAGATGTTCTGTCTCATTAGCACCACCCACGCAAACGAAAGGAAAGAGGGCAGATTGAAACAAATAATCAAGGGGCTTAGTGAGGAAACTCTTGATCAAGATGAATGAGATTCTCTGTCTGTTTAGCACCACCCACCCAAATGAAAGGAAAGGAAATTCATATTGCCACTAAGCAAAAGGAACAAAGTGATTACGGCTGATTAGGCTCTATGAGATCCTCTGTCTCATTGGCACCACCCAATCAAAGGAGAGGAAGCGCGTTGGATTGAGCGCTAAGAAAATGAGGAAAATTGTTCAGACTGAGCTTGTACTCATCGACTCCCTCTCTATAAGGAGAGACACCATTCGTAGTAAATCTGTTCCTCCCACACAACCATCCACTCCCTTCCACCTCCCAGTACAAATTTACCACCTAGCTCTACACTACTCCCAAAGAATTCAAGAGCTTTTCGCGAATTGTTCGTTATAATCTTCTCCTACCAGTTTTCTACATCTTCACCTCCCCACTTTATCGT